CTCTAGACTCAGATTTAGGCGAGGCACTCATGTATGTTGCGTCCACGTACTTATTGGTGCGTCACCCGGAACTTGGCAGTCGATTCTGCTGCATACACAAGATAGACTGGCACGCAGATATTCTTTTGTGTTATTTTCATGTTTGTTTATTTGTCTTCCATTCACTGAGCAAAGGCCCACTTGAGTCGGCGCTCCGACGACGCCAAGCCGTAGCGCCGCCGTGGTCTTGCTCCTCTGGTTCCCCGTTCGTTGCTTGCTAGTGTCTGTGGCTTTAAACATGTGGACTTCACTTCAGCGACTCAGGCCTCCACGTGCTTCTCTCATTTGCAATGTGCCTCCTTTTCTGCTTGGCTGAAAAGTGGCGACGGGGCAGGCAATTCCGCCTTCGCTGCATGCAGGTGGCCTTGTCGCATAGGAATGGAATATGAGGGCAGGTGCTTTGAAATTCTGGCGGATAAACGCAGCCGGACAAGGTACACTGTAATACTTTTAGCTCTGCTAGTTATATTGAACTAAGAACTAGCAGCAAGCTGACTAGCTGGTTTGTTTGTCTGATTGTTTTTCATATTGCCTCGCAAAATACTGCTTGACCATTCAAGAAGTCGCACTTGCATGCGCAGCTGTGATGCAATGTAAAGGTAGCTGTGTATGCTCGGGGTGCTTAAAGAGTGGAACTACGCGCATTTTAGCTGTACTGTGCGCGAGCATTGGAAGGCGGGGCCTCATTGGAAAACCCCTGACTAACGTTCTACCAAGTCTGCATCGAGCCTGGAGTGAACAGTCTTCCTACGGGCATAAAGGCCCACAGGTAGCCTGTTGCCTCGCAAACCCGTGGGGCTTGCGAAGGCGATTTTTCCCAGATCTTCAAGCACGCGAGCTCTCATACTTTGCTTGTTCAATGCTTTCCACTTCAAGTCCTTTATACATGCGAGCTTTCTTACTTTGACTCGGTTCAGTTGAATGATCTTTCACTTATATTAACAATACACACCATAATGAGCTTTATGATCGTAGCGTAGGGCACTCTTCAAGCTTTTATTTTTTGCTCTGGGCTCAATATATTGTTTTTACTGCTGCAGCCCAGAACTTCAGCCATTCGGGGTCCCCCCTCTGCGCTACCGTACAGTAACCGCGGTAAGAGCGCTGCTAGGTGCACTGCTTGCAGGTAAAGCCGATTTTAGTTGATATTTCACTACAAGAATCCTTTCCATTCATGAATTGATTGTAGTCGAAAGAGTTTGTAATAATCGAAGAAAGGAGCCACGCTAGGGGCAGTAGTGCACTAGGCACTCACGCGTAAACATGAAGCAATAGAATAATTTGCAAAGCGGTGTATAGAAAAACATGCTTTTTAGAGCTAATACCTTAGAGTGACACGATTAGAAAGGTGCACCTCTCATCCGTTTTAGCCCTTTGCGGCTGAAGAGCGCCGCTGAAGGTAGCGCGTAGGGGAGAAGGCCAAATGCTTCCGTTTTCAAAAACATTCGCCCTCATCATCTTCCACCTGCCAACGAAAGCTCTTTCAGGGTATCTGCTGGACATGACGGCTACATGGCTTTTTGTGCGTTGCCCGCGGATGAGGCACTTGCAATTCTGTAGGGTAGAATTCTCTGTGCACGCAGCTGCACTCTGTAGAAAGCTTTTTTGCTGTACGAAGAATTGCTGGACGCTTGGATGCCGCATGTCCAGGATGTGATCGACTTCTTACTCCCAATCACCTTGGCACGCTGCATTGACAGGACTCCAGGCCTCGGTGTAGTCAAGTAGCCCACCAATCGCGCCTTTAGCTGCTTCTTCGTGTACTGAAAGCACTCTCGACCCATTTTCGCCTAGAGAACTTAGGGCCCTGCACCCTCATAGTCTGTCAAGGCACTGAGTGCCTAATGAAGGTTGACGTGAATGCATGATCGTCTGCATCATAATTTGATAGAAAGTTTGCGCGAGTAGAATGTTGGTGATGAAGCATGTCATCCTACACCTTATTATTGATATTATTGGAAGCAAATCCCAATTATTCAGGCTGTACAGGGAAATCGACCTTCACTGTGGGCATGCTTGATAAATGACCAGGTAACAGAAACATACCCTTGGTTAGACCATTGTGCCTGAAGCTGCATTGACGTCTACTGGGCCAATGGGACCAAAATCATTCCGGAACCCGCAAACGGCTTGCACGCAACAGTCCACACAGAGACAGGCATTGGTTACGGAACTGTTTCTGAAAGTGTTGATCGTGAGAAATGCTGCTTCTTTCTTCGATACAGTGAATCGTTTCCATCAAAATGCTTCTTGTAATGGATACCACGGCCTGATTTGTATGCGTGCAATAGCCACTTAAATGAGAGAGAAAGCGTCAATATAGAGATACATCCCTAGGGGAATTTTGGGGAAGATTCGTATTTATTTCTTAGAGCGGACAAAGCATTTCCTTTTTTCTCAAGGTAGACTTTGTTAGGGTCTTCAGTAAGGCTCAGCAGAGTTTATTCGAATTACGATCGTTATTCTCGCGTACTTAGTCCCCAATGGAGACGCTTGCTACTTCAGCGTTGTGCAGAGTTTTGTCGAGCGCTACAACTTTTCGGTAAGGGCCATTTGAGAACGGTGGCCATGGGGGTTCCTGGTATATGGAGGGAGGCAGTAGGATAGCAGAGGAGCTACCTGATCTAAAGCAGCGGTGGTTGATGGTGATGTGTCAAGACTTGGTAGAGGGGTGCAATCATCAACAGACTCCCAATCCGCCGGAAAGCGATTTGACCAGAGTGTGCTTGTCAGGACGATTTTGATCCACTGTACGGACGATCACGTTAAACAAAGGAGTGATTTCAAAGGATTCGGATCTCCTCATATGGCAAGCTCAAGAAGGAAGTAAGCCCTTCAGCTGTGCAGGATGATTTCGCACTAGAGATTTATGTTTTTCAAGCCCTTGTTTGTTGGACGTCGAGAATGGCTTATGAATGTGGAAAAAGAAGTATTGAACTTCCAGGCATCCCTGATTCCACCCACCCACTTGTGTCTATATAATGGTGAATAAATAACAAAGCACATGCTGTAAGGCGTGGCCACTGGGGTTCCAGACTCTGTAGAACCGTTTAGAGCTTCACTGCGGTATACACTGCGTTATACCCCCATGCATAAAGACGTCTCTCTGCACCACCTAAACATTCGCCGAGCGAAACATTTTGATAATTGCTAAACAACTTCCTAAAAGGCACTTGACATTGGCTTTAAATCGTGCCTCCGACCCACTTCTCTCAAATTTCGCCGACACGCTGCAGCAGGCCTCTTCAGTCTTTGATCACCAAGTAACTTTTTGGCCCCCGCTCCTCTGTTGTACGGAGTTGTGGGACGTGTTACCGAGTAAGATACGGAGATGTTTGCGCTGTATTCAAGCCCTATTACCGTAGCAGGCAAGAAAGCTGTTTCGACTGTATCACTGTCCCTGGTTTACCTAGCTGTGAACTCAGATCCCCGCCTTCAATGCATTCCGTGAGTTGGTTCCTCGCATAAAAAGAACAGCTGCGGCTGGTGTGATACATAGGGTGACAAGATTTTATGACAGAATATGCAAGGTAAGACGAAATATCTGAACCGAGGATCTTTGACTAAGCAAGCAATAAAGGTGGGCGACCGCTTTGATTCTCGGACTCTTCCCGTAGCACTCTCCTAAAGTGTCCTTTGGAAATTGGTTGAAGGAATACAATTACTATCCACGGTTCACGGCCATCAATGGAGAGATCCTTAAACTGACGTTGCTTTCCTTTTCAAGAGAAATTAGATTCGATGCCGTAAAACAAAAACTAAGCCTTGTCCCCTTGCTGTCGCCAAAGAAAGGCCGTTTCCGGAGCCAGCGTTATTCACGCGAAGGCTAGCGCTTGCAGCACTTGCAGCGAGCTACCCAAGCAGTGGCACGGTCGTAGGCAATTCCGCAGAGGGCTGAACTGAGGTTGGGACTGCAGCATCTAAACCAGGGCTCCTCCACGGGCCGCCTGCCCCTTCACTACGCTGCTGTACCATATATAGGACTGTCTCGATAGAAAGGCAGTAGAAGTCCCTGTTTACTTATCAGCGTTACGAGTACTGATTGAACCCTTGCGGCTGGGAGAGCGGTTGCCCGTGGAGTTGCTGGAAGTAGAAGTGGGTCTCCTTGGCGGTTTTACAGCCTGGGTGGTGGTGGCTTTCCTGGTTGAACGGGGGGAGGATCTCATACCTGCTTGCTGCAGCAAACCCTGCGATACCTTAGCTGATAGAGTAGTCATCGTGTGCTCCCTCGGGAAGGGCTTTTTTGCCCGAATTTGGCACAGGAACAGCCATAGTATTTTCCGTTCTTACTCCGAGCTTTTCCTGCATGCTGACTACTTTCGCTAGCACAGACAAGAAACTGGAGCCCTTATCAGATTTACTGTGCTATGTTTCTTCAAGAGTATTGCCTACAGTCCTTTCATAGGCTCTAGCTTCTTCATCTCCATCGCCTTTGTTTACCTCCTCGCTGTCGCATGGGGTACCGCTCAGGGGCCCGCGTGCTGTCTCTTTTAATGGACCCATCAAGATGTCGGTTGTTTTGGCATCTCGCTTCCTTTTATCACGATGTGTGTCCTTCGTGTTCTCTGCTGAGCCATGAGCTCCCTGATACAGAGTAGGTTACCAAATTCACACAGGGGGCCCAAGTACGGCGCTGAGGGTGTTTGACAGCATAGCTGGTATCCGCTGCCCCTGGTTTAATCAGACTATTTTGCACTGTCGGTACATGCAGCTTTCGCTCCTCCCCACCAACCACGGCATGCAATATCATATCCATGTCCCAATGAAAGAATGCTTCCGAGGCTTTCACCTCCTGCATGGAAATTGCGCTCGTCTTCGAGGCTCTCTCAATCTCTCCGTCCTCTGCCTTTGTCAGTGACTTTGCCTTTCCCCCGGTCTCTCCCTGTTCTCCCCTCGTTCGCTCCAGTTTCCCTGTCTTCGTGTCGTCCTTTTTGAGCCTTTTCTACTGTTACCTCTACCGCTCATTCTCCCTTCTCCACCCCGCTCGTTTCTTTTCCATCTACATTCCTGCCAGCTTCTATTTCTGAAACAGCTCCCTTCTCCTGCCGAGCAGCCCGTTGCGTGTGTACTGTGCGTGGCTTCTCACTCGCCTCAGCATGCTGTGGGACAACCCTGATGTCAAGCGTCTGGCTTTCCAACATGGACGTCAAACCACCCGTCACCTTGGCTTTTTCATGTCTTCCCTCCCGTATATTATCAGCGTCCTTACCTATAATCAACACTTTTTCCCGCTGCCATATCCCTGGCTGTTCCATAGGAGGGCCCCAGGCGTGTAATTGGGTGGGTATGCCGTTTCCTCTTGGCTGCCTGCACTCGCTGTAGAACCTACAAAGGGTTTTTCCGGCAAGTGCCCTCCTGCGGTGAGTCAAACGGGGCAAACCTTTCCTCCAAGTCCCCATATTGTAGTAAAATAGAACTGATAGGATAACACTGTTTATTGAGAGCGGTGAGTTGAGCCCAACTAAGCTCGCTCACGGCAACTTCGTCGCCCTGGCAAGCGTGTCGCCGCGCGTCAGCTGTCTCGAGTGCCTCCATAAAGAGCTGGAGCACTTCCTGCTGCAAGATTGACTTTATGAAACCCTCAAGCTTTGTGAGAGCCCGAGTGTAATGCTCATGCTTAGCTGCCTCCTTGATGAGGACAGCGACCGGCGGCAAGTAGGTGTGATTCCATTCTTTGACAAGGGTACCCCCACTACCAGGACTCCCTATCAATTGTTTTGCTTGTTGAATCCTCTGCCGGGTGTGCCACTGCTTTCTCCGCCATGCTCAATGTTGTTCGGAGCGCCTTCCAGTGTCGACCGCCCAGTTCGCACTCAGCCTCACCATGGGGACCCCTGCTATCGCCTCCTGGAGGGCTTTCGACCCAAGCGCTTGCAGCTGTTCAAGCGTCTCCAGTCGCGTCAGCTCCTTATTTGCTTCTGCAACCGCGTTGCGGAAACTCAAGGCTCCCGTGCGCATCGCCTTAAAGGCCCTCAGGAACGACAGCTGGACCTCAGCTATGCGATTGCTCTTAGGGGAATTTGAAAGAGGACCAGCAGAGCCCTCTGCGGAGGTGGCCTGCTCGATCTTGCGCATGGCATTCTGTGAAGTGACTTCCCAGGTGCGCAGCCGGAGGGAGACTTCTCCGAGGTGAGCCATGGCAAAAGCTGAGGGGTGTGTAATGCGCAAGTCTACTGTCATGCGCAAAGCTTCCATTTGCCTCTGCCAAAGCTGTACTGTTTCCGCGAAAGCTGCCTCCTCTGCTTCTGCTCCTCCAGCTACTGTTCGGCCACCAAAAGACGCTGCTCCTCAAGATACAACACCGACAATTGAGCACTAGCATCCTCATGTGTGGCCTCGAAAGCGTCTGGGGTGCTGCGAAGAGACAAGACTTCCTGTATTAACTGCTCTAACTGTTGCGGCATAGCTCGCCTTTGCTGCTCCTGCGGTCGCACTTTCTCCGGAAGCCTTCGTTCTGCGCCGTTTGGAGAATGTAGCTCATGGAGACGTCTCCTGTAGCTTGTAAGACTTTGCTCCAAGGTTTGTGTTTCTTCCGCTATAGCTCTGATGGTGTTTACCTGTTCTCGCTCTCTGATCTCATGTAACCTTTCTTCTTGTTTTAGTTGCTGTAGCGCCTTCAGCAGGTTCATTCTGTCAAAATCTAAGTACTTCTGCGGCTCCTTTTTTGGTATCGAATAGGCCTCATCAGAGCTCCGCTTTTCTGCATCCAGCTCAGCTTTGAGAACCGCAATCTGCCTCCTGCTTGCTTGTAAATAAGCATCAGCGGCCTCAAGTGTCCTCAGCTGCTGTAGCTTTGCATCATGCTGTTGCTCCTCTGTATCAAGCAGCTTCTCCTCTGCCACCAGCTGTTGCATGAACTGAGAGAAAGATTCCTCTGTTTTTGCTTCTGAAAGTTCTAAAAGCTGCTGATACAAGTTTAAGTTTAACACTAGCATGGCTCTCTGCTGTAGTGCTACAGCCGGTCTCTCCTGAACTTGAACTTGGGACTCTGCTGTCTCGGTTACTTCCGAGAATGCTGTCGGCCAGTTCCGCGTACCACCCACGCGGTGCAGCTGTTGTTGCTCTATCTTCTGCAATTGTTGCTGCTGCTGCAGCTTCAACGTTGATGCCTCTGTTGCCCCGATGCTCCAGCACACCATCAGCAAGTTCTTTTGCACCTTGGAGGCAGCTGCCGGCTTCGCGCTGTACAGCAGTCCTAGCCTCTATTATCCTTCTGCTCCGTTCCACAGCAAAGTCCACTACTCCCGCTGCCAAAATCATCAGCAGCAATCCACTAACCAAAACCAGTTTCGCTTGCTGGGCTGGAGGATGATGCATCGTATTCTCAGGTCACTTTGGAGCCTTGTCTGGCTATGCCTAGTGTGGCCGGCATTGCAAAAAAAAGGAATTAAGATGGATGAAAGCCATAAAACTACTGTGAAGCATGCTGCTATGCTGCCAGAAGGCTTGTGCTTTTCCCGTGGTGTTCCCTCATAACCGGGAATTCCAAGATAAGACTCTGCTGCTGGCTCCGAGTGCTGCTGCTGAAGGAGCAAAGGATGGAAGTCGCCCTACAAGAACGCTAAGCCCATAGATGCAAAGTGCCAGCGTTGTCAAGTGCCACGCTATGGATGTCACATTGTTCACAATGCTGCAGCAGTAGGCTTGTATGGTGATGGATTTGTTTCTGCTACCTGAGTTCAGCAAGCCTATAGCTCAACTGCTGTGACAGCCGCCGGACATGTGTGTTGCAAATGATTGCCTCAAACGCCATCTGTCTTTCATATATTCCCTGTGTACTTAAACGCATCCTCCTGCCAGTTTGACGCATCTAAAATGCTCATCAACGTACAGGCACAGGTAGGAGATAACCAAAGAAAAGGGATTTTTCGACGTTATGGCTGAGGTACCACAGCTTTTTGTTGATGCTACTGGAGCAATTGCTGCGACCTTGTCGCAGCTTGCCCCGTTACCCCCAGCCTTGTACTTCAGGAAGCTCCCACGGACCTTTGCAAATATTGACGATCGCATTAGAAGTCAAAAAATCTAAAGTCAGTCAGCACAAAGTATGCCGGCCACTCCTAGCCCCGCTACCGAAATTTACAAGCGGAGCGGCTGTGATTGCGCTCCCACCGTGAACGTCAAGTCACTCTACGACTTCTCAGTCTTCCGGACAGTGCTGACAGCCATCGACTTTAGAATTCATTAAATACAGGTCCTAGCTATCTTTATGCCATGTCTCTTATCTTTTTGCGAACATTTAAATGATGAGCTGGTCTTACTTCAGCAGTAGCCCCTGTTCGAGCACCAGGGCACACCGTAATAGATCCTGCTACTTGCTCTGCCAAAGGAACAGGTCAAATTCTCTAACTTTAATCGTGGTATCACCAAGAAAGTCATCCTTACTTGAATACTTTTTTTTGAAAATTGATAACACCTACCCCTCGTTAAAAAGTGTTGGGAAGTGTTAACTGGCAGCCTCACAACTCAAATGTGCACCAGTAGCTATTCTGTGCACCACTTGGTCTCTCCGGTAGAGCCCGTGTTAGGGGAACCTGTGACATCATGAGGGGGACCCATCGATCAAGCTAGAGGTGCCGGCTTCGTTGCGTGCTCCCAATGGCAATACACACGTGTTGGGGCAAATAATTTGTTCTGCTGTTACAATTCTGCCCCTAGTGAATTTACGGGTAGACACGAAGCCCCAGTCCGACTACAAAGCTTACTAGGAACTTATTAAATAATCTCTGAAGAGGGTTCTCTCTTCTCCAGGCTCTTACACTATAGGACCTCGCATGAAGCGAAATGGGCAGCCACTTTCCGCATTGCTGCACCCTCTAGGCACTCCGAGCGCTCAGATGAGTCGCAGGTGCAACTAATGCGCGGAAAAAAAAATAATTGGTTCTTGACAGTATGGGCTAACATTATACTGCAGCAATTGAGGTGTGCAGACGGACAGGCCAAAAGGTATATTCTTTACTAATTTTGCTCAAATGTACCTAGTGTAGAAGAACGTATCAGAGTGCAGCCTTGCCTGTTACGGCATCCCCTTTCTGTCGGAGCACACGCCTTCGCGTTCCGTAACCCCACGTTCTCACTAGTCGCCTATTGGACGGTCACCGACACGGCAGCATCGCCACTCCACATGCAGGCAAAGGCAAGAAAACAGTAGAATGAAGGTAGCAAAACGCACATCCGTCCCGTAAGAAGAACAGTAAGGAGAAATTTGCAGACGCTTTTGAACGATTGACCCACCAAACTAACATGAACCCGGTGGCTCAGTACCTCGCTGGTGGTGAACTAGCACTACATTTGTGCCTACGGGTGGTTTTTCGCACATAAATTCGCACAATAAGAACTCCTTAATATGCAGGAGCCGCTCACACGGACCATCTTACAAGGCCCTTAGCGCCTGAAGAGGGATGGTTTAAAAACTCTACTCAGATATCACCATTTTGCAGGGCAACGACACAATTGATGACTTACAAGCCCATCAGGCTCGACTTCACCTTCAACCAGCACATGCTCCTCTAAGGCAGCTATTCTACTGCGTCCCTTCACATACCAGGACCTTAAATGGCCACCCGTTTTTAAGATGGCGCTTAATGGTAAGTTTCTGTGCTCCCCGAAACTCATGAACACGATGGAATAGCAAGCGTTTCCACTGCGGACTGAGGAAGCCCAAGTGGAGTTCTCGATACGAGCACCACTGTGCTCACACTTCCTGGAAATCGTTGCAAAGTCTACAGAGAATTCAGTGCTTTTTTCGCGTAAAGAAATGAATGCTAGCACTCCCCGATGGCTCCCCTCGGGGGTGAACCTCTATTTTTACGCTTTCCATTTCAGTTAGCCGGTTGCTGTACGCCTGCAAATCGGGCCCCAACACCATTACCAAGCACCTCATGTGATGAAAACCACTTCCTTCTCCACGAAAACAGACAAGTCTATTCACAATTAACATATAAAGACTGTTTGGTCCTCTATAGTCACTCTAAGTGATAGTCTCCCTAGTCGCCCAGGGCGCCTGGCTGCCGCTTTAACCACAATCATGTAGGTGGAAATAATTAGTACTGGGGACTTGCTAGTCTTTAGCGCTGCCCACGGTGATGCTCATTTGCTTGATTCACTCGATACTGGCTGAACAGTGCACATTTCTTAGGAAGTATAGCATACCCCGTTTCCCTACATGTATTCTAGCCGCTGCGAATCCTTACCAAAGCATACTACATACAAACATGCCTGTAAACTAAACGTCTTAAGAATCGTGAGTTCTTATAGACTATCCACATACAGGGGCCCTAGGCCTTTAAGTGTAAGTGCATAGGGGGAGCCTTGAACTGCGGAGAAAGCAGCTGGAAGGGCGCCTGTAATTGTAGTCTATTGCATTCAATGGACATCGCCATAAAATACTTTGGTGAACCTCCTTTCAACAAAGACGAAACAAGTGAAATATGAAGCTTGCTTTTCAGTACCGAATAATTGTGTTTAGTGTATCACCAGCGCTCCTGTGCAATACGCCCTCCGAAGTAGGCATGGACGTGGCGGTTTGACGTCAGCAGCACCCTTTGCAGCAAAGAGATTTGGAGAAAAGCTGGCTAGTGCATGCAAAGGCATGCGCATAGTTAAAAAGAAACAGGCACAGAAGTGTCATGAGCAGCGATCGACAGTGGGTAATGAGCCTAGCAATTCAGTCTCGGTGGACCTGCAGGCTCTCGGAGGTGCAAGGTGCAACCAGAAGAAGACCAGGCTAAGAGATCTGCGGCCAGGTGCCTAGGGTAACTTGCGGTTCTCTCGCGAATTAATCGTCTTTCTTACTCGTTGGATTTTCTCAGACGTTGGATGTGCCACAGAACTATCAGTAGTAGCTTTTGATGAGCGTTTGGGGGTCAGCAGTACTCTGCAATAAATAAGACATGAGACTTAATTCTTTACTAATTCTTTGTCAAAATATAAGTGGCGTAGTGTAAAGTGTTGACGTGCAGCTTTGTTCGCCATATTATGTAAAGGAGAGAAACTCAATACGATAATTTTTTGCGTGTATACTAAATGCTACGTACATCTAGCTGTACATGTTGGGTATGCTTGGATGGTGCGGCAACGCCAATCGCAGGTGCTCCCCTCCCCTCATGTCGGAGTCCTGCGGGGGCCTGGCATGAAAAGAGTGGAGATCTTTTAGGAAGGAAAACAGTACCTCTCTATAAGATTGTATTGAGTTTGGAAATGCGGTACAGCAAAAAAAGCTTGAAAAGAGTGAACATCGGATTAAGCCAGCATATGTGGGGAAAAGCATGGATTGTATCTGGTATATAACTGTCAGCGCGAAAATAGCTCACGGTTTTGGCGTGAATGAGATAATCACAGTCAAGACCCAGCTGCCTGGGGCTTTATCATAGCCACTGCCTATCTATAAGGAACAAACGCCTCTTTTTGGAAGAAAAAGGAGAGCAAGAATGAGAACGAATGCCTTGAAGTACTGTGGACCCACTACGGAATGGGCCTTACAAAGATAGCAGTGCCTTGCGTCGATGATAAGCTACCAAAATCCCATACTGTAGGAGACTTATAAAATCAAAAATACAACATTTAGAATGCTGCACGCTTCAGGTGGGGCAAAGAATAAGTTCGGTCATCTTTTGGATTGCACTCACCCTCCTGCTTTCGGCATAGACAAATGATAACCAATTTTAGACTAACCTGCTTTTCTCAGCAGGTAGAGTACCGCTAGTCCCAGTCGCTCGAAGTGAAGATGCAAGGAAGTTATGCAAACACACCCGCAAGGCTACAAAACGCTGGTTGAGAGAATTTCTCGATATGCAGCCAACTGCAGTCGACTCTCTTGAGGGCGCCGTAAGCTCTGCGCAACCCTATGTCGAAAAACTACAGCTAGCTCGAGGAACTCTACCGCTGCACAGAAGACCACCAGAATAAATAGATACATGCTGAATGGGCTCTGTTGAAGCTCTTCTCTGCGCTGAGGCGCTATCTGTTGCTTTGACTAAGCGGCGACTGCTACGGCCTCAGTTAGACCAAAGGGGTCACAAGCGCGTCCCTTGCGTGCTTCATCCCCGTCCCGTCAGTTAACTATCCTTGATCCACCACTTCTTCCCAGTATCTACTTGTGTGTCTCCTGATTAAGAATATCTATAATGCTCTGGACCTTGACCTTTGGAAGGGAGAGCAGGTCTTCATCAGACAGATTAGGATCGTCAGATACATTTGGTTGCATATCTTTTCCTGTATGCTGATTGGCTGTATCATCGAATCCCTCAACCTTCTCCAAGCTGTCCTGCAATTCTTTTCTAGATTTCTTGGCTTTATCACAGATCCCCAGCGCATAAAGCCTGGCTGTAGTATCTGAATACTCCTTGGAGACTGCTTCCCACGCCCCTACAGCTCGGGCTAGCTTGTCTCGGTAGCTTGTGTCGAGACATGACTTCTTGTACTCCAGACGCTCCAGTCGCAGCCTATAGAATTCCAGTAGTGTCATAGCCCCATGCAATTGCAGTTTCAAGGATATGCGGCTGGTTCCATTTCCATCTTTGTCAGCCAGCTTGCCATCCTTTAAATTCTGAAGGGACAGCAGTCCTCTGCGTGACGCCATCCGGCTTTTCTCAATAATCTCTTGTCGTCTTTTCGTCGCTTCGATGTCTGCTTCAAGTCGCTCTTTCTCTCCTTTCAGGATATCCTCTTGTGATACTTTTTTGATGAAGAGTTGATGAATTTCTGTGGCCAAGTCTCGATCCTGATCAAGGCTTATAGCCAGGTCCAGAGAAGACAGCAATGCCAGTCTTTTTGTCTCCCGTTCTGCACTAACTAGAAGTAGCTGGATTCCCACACTCTCGTTTTCCTGGTCTTTCTTATACATATCATCAAAATGGGTTCGCACCTTAGAGCTTATTTTGTGTTCTGCCGAATGGCGTAACTGCAGCAACAAAAATAGGTCTCCTTCGGAACCCCTGGCCTCCTTGAGGGCCTCCTCTGGGGCATCAGCAATGCTCGCCTCCAGAGAATGCTTCTGCTGCTCCAAAAACTTCTTAGCATCACCAGCTATTTCGGAGTTGTGTAGTAGGGCCACTGTGTCTTCCAACTCCTGCTGCAACTTCTCTTGCCAGGGCTTGACATGCTGCTCTGCCACTTGACGCTCATACTGCTCCAGGCTCGCGTGGTGGTTCAAGGCATCATGAAGCAAACCCTGGTACTTCACGTCATTCTTTTTTCTCTGCATCGCCCCTTTCCGGTCCTTGCAAATTCCTTTCACGCGTGCAGCACCTTCGGTGACAACTTCCGCCGGCAGCTGCTCAACTGTTTCCTCAAACGCTTTTCTCCTTGACTGTAGCTCTGCTTCGCATTGTTTCTGAGCGCATTCCTCTTCCTCTATCTGTTTCAAAAGCTTTTCGAACTCCTCTTGCATTTTTCTTTGCACCTCTCTGCGCTGTTTCAAGTCCACTATCCTCGCCTCCTCTGCTTTCTTGCGGATTCGCAACACCATCTCCAGGCTCCGAAGTCGTTCTTCTGCATCTGTTTTAAAAAACTCAATAGCTTTGTGTTCCATCGCATGCACTAAGCCCTCTTTTTGCTTCTTTGTGAGCTCCAGCTGCTTTAGCCTCAGATCATCCAGCTCCTTTGCCTCAGTAACTGTTTGAGCCAGTAAATGTTCCTCATGGGTCATAGCGCTGCCATCCAACTTCACCGTCAACAGCTCCAAGTCTTGTATTTTGTTCAGTACCATCCTCTTCTTCTTGAGTAGCCGGAGGATCTCATCGTAGGCTTGCTTAGTCAAGGCAGAATCGGGGCCTTTTCCGTAGCTTACGGCCCTCAGCACTTCCTGAAGCTTAGCATTTGCCTCCTCCAAAACCGTGGCCTGCTCCCCCAAAGTCCTTACACGCATAGCCGCCTCTGCAGCTCGCTGTTCCTCGTTGCTGAGTTGCTCGAGGAACCCTTTTTGTGCCCTCTCTTCCACTTTGGCGACGGCCTTGAACTGTATCTGGCTCTGAGTATTTCCAGAGCTGAGCCTCAAAGGTTGTTCCATTATATCCCTTAAATCTTTTGGATTCTGCGCATCCTTGCTTTGTGAGTCATTTAGTGCGAGCTTTCCTTTGGCGTCATTAATAGGGGTTGTAAAAGCAAGCACTTTCGCAAGTTTGCGGCTGGTTGCCCCGTACACAACAAGAATGCCGCAAATTAGCGATGCTGCGGTGAAGAGGACATCATACTTCTTCTTTTTCAACCGTCTTTTGATTTGAAAATCCTTATGGGGGCTCGTACGCTCGGTGCCCACCACAGATGTGGGAATGTGCGTGCCTGCGGCTAGATTAATAGCCTCAGCCCCCCCCAACTCTACTATGCCTTCTTTGTTCTCCATGATGTTAGTATTTGTCTCGATACAAAATATGGTACCGAAGGAGCACGAAAACGCGACCACCGCCAATACACCTGTAGCTACACCTTTCATGAGACTCTCCGGAAACAAGCATATCGACGGCAAAAATCGTAGATTTCTTATATTTTGCATATGTAGCCTCATCTTTCGTAAGGCATAAATAGGGTCACAGGGTATATTTGTATCTTTGGTGCACTCGTGGGCAGAACGGCTGGAAGGAGCTCTGCCATTTGGGAGCGGAAAATCGCTGTCAATAAAGGGGAGCGACGTAGGCTTATGTCCTGACAGCGCGAATCAATTTACTTCTGGAGAAAGGTAATTTCCCTGGAGATAACATAGGACCCGACAGAGCCTAAATGCTGGGTCCGGCACATTAAGGAACGTAGTGAGTGACCGCCTATGCTTTACTACTAACAGGGTGATGAGCAACCAAAGTAGTGCGCACCAAGGCAACATGCATTAAGCAAACCGTCTTGAGGAGTAAAGGTCAAAACACTTGGGGAGAACAGTAGCGGTGATTCATTCGTTCTGCTCCTTATTTTAGCATGCGCTTGTACTGTAGGCCATGTAGTAGTGCTGAATCAGCCCCCATATAAGGACAACCGCATTAAAAGCATAATCTGCGGTCCTTCAAATTTGCGATGGCATGAACGAATAGGCTTGTCTTATCTGTTGAAAACTTAGAAGTCCTCGGATTTTGAGTGTAACATAACGGAAGGCGGGCATCGAAGCCTCAAGTAAGGGCCTCCTATCTGATAGCTGTGAAGACAAAAAGTGCTTTATCACACGATCCACAGACATAGCTTGTTGCTACAGTGTTGTATGTTGGTAAGAAGTCCTTGTTAATTTGTAACTGTCCATCTACGGCCTTGTTAGGGTGACACTTTACTCGTTAATTTTTTTCACACAAAGTTTTGAGTGTCTCTGAGCACAGCTCCTATCTTTCCCCACCCAATTCGCTCGAAGCTCCGACATGAATGAAGAAGGGGCAGCAATGGCGCGCGTTGCTTCCCGACCTAAGTAATTCGGGAATTTACCTCTAGTTACACGTAGCAGCTAGCGCACTCGCACACTACATTGCGCCTTGTTGTATCGAACAAAGAGTGCCCTGGAATTGATAAAATATACATACCGGCAAACTAGTTGGTCGATTCGTCGAATAATTCTTTTTTAGATACAAGTAGTGCAGTACAAAGTGTTGAATTTTATGCTGGTCGGATATGTCTTCACTTCGCCATCCCAGCATGTTCCTTGAGCTTGTATAGCAAGAACAAGGGCGTTCAAAAAAGTTCTTACCCTCTCGCAATTCTCATGGCAATCAGGTACACGAAAACAGCACAGATCAGAAAAACCAAGCGTGCAACGAACCGCTGAGGGGAATGGAAGGAAGGAAGACAAATATACTAGCCAACAACAAAGGAAGGACCGTAGCAACACGAATGAGGCGGCGAGATGGTTCGATATCGTTGGCTGGTTGAATTCTGTGATCCACTTGCTACGAGATAAAAGAAGAAAAGCAAGATGTGTAAGTGGAATAAAGATGCACACTATCTAAACAATGACTTCTCGTCCCGTAAAGCGATGTAGGCTAGAAAACACTGCCGACACATGCAAAATAATCAATGTCCAAGATCCGAAGGACGCGTAAAGAAGAATACAGGGACATCATCCTTGAGTGCCTCTGCATGATTCTTAGTTTGGAGAACAACTTAGCAAGAGCCCAAATCGAATGACAGAACGGCAGATTGACTAGCCTGCAACGAATGCAGGACCTAGCTAGCGTGACCACGGTGGCATGAAGCCTTGCTGTCTTTGGACCGCTGTAAGCAAGGGCGTTGATTCGGTTGATAACGGCAAATGGTCCTATCCACCAGACTGCAAATCGCCTAGTCTGGTCGCCGTCTGGTGCACCTCGCACCCCTTGGGGCATACTGCTCTTTCAAGATCAAATTTCCAGGACCGTGACCCGCAGTCGATCGTCGCTCATTATAACGGTGATTGTTTCTCTTGAGCATTGGCCACACAAATAATTGAACTGGCCAGCTGTTCTCTGAATGCTTCCGCTGCTAAGGGTGCTACTGACGCCGGAAAACATAGTCTGGGCCCACTTTGGAGAGGGGGGCTCCGCAGTATAAACCAGGCGTGCGGGAGATCAAAGGGTAGACGAGTGTAAATCTTTATTATAAGCCCACTTGGCATGGGAAGGGAGTGAAGCCCAAGCGACGGCATTTTTTTTACACAAAGTGTCGTCAATACTGCAGAAAGCTGCGATTGGTGTGCTCTTTTTGCCCATCTGCCTCAGGTTGGTTCATGGTGATCATATAATTCTCAGTGTGCAGGCGGGTCACAAAGGAGCACCAGTGCTCGCTGATAAACCTCGGATTTCTGTACGAAGTGATATACCCTGGAAATTCGTGGAGGTTCCACACATGGGTTATATATAATGGGCGATTTGCAGAGGCTTGGCAGAGCTGGAGCAAGGTATGAAATAAGCACAAACTCAGAGTCTCTCGACAACCACGGAAATATTATCCTATCCTTTGACCTTCCGGAATCAAACAACAAAAGGCATAGTCATATAAGTCAAAGCCTTCTTACAAGCTGGAAAGCTTTGCAGCTGTTTCCAGGAGAGCTGCGAGGTTTTTAGTTGCTGACGGCTTGGACGAGGCACTGCATGCTCCTCTGCTACTGAACGCCTTTCAGGCAATCAGAAGAGCGGAAAGACTTTTGGCCGTAGTGCGAACCTCACCATGACCTGGAAAAATGTGATCCTGTGCTTTGCGCAAATAAGCTACATGGCCGAAAATCGAAATGTACCAGTGATATAGTACGCCAGCTTCGAAGTGTCAATGCTTCGTACGGCTGCCATGTTGAATTTTTGCAATATTAACTGATTCACGGTTGTGAAGAGCATAGAATTCACGCAGAAAGTTTGGTTGAAATCATGAATTAGCACCGACAAGAGCACCTGCGCTACCCATTGGTGAGTTGCTGGAACGTCGCGAAAGCCGCGTCGGAGACCACAATGATGCCCTTGATAACTTTTCTGCTGTACTGCCGAAACTCATAAAACAACACTAGGCATACCAAGTCCTGAACACTTTTCAAACGGTGCGTGATGATTGATGGTGGTCTGGACAGTACAATGACGCCCAAATGATAGTGTCAGCATCATTTTATGCCCCGCAACACTGCACAGCGCTGGCAAACACGCAGCCGTTTCAAAGATAGTGGTACCCACCGCTAGGTTTTGTTGCATCGGCCAAGAAATAGAAATTGCCTTTGTAACCAGGCAGCACGAATACGGGGGACTTGGAAGGAGGCTGATGAGCATCCTTGCTGCGGCATTAGCCCCCTCTATCCAGGTCACAGACTGCGCGTTTCTATTATACTCCGGTCGAAGAAGCAGCGATCTACGCAAAGCCAACACTGAAATCTGGATAATAAGATGCAAGCGTATAGGTCCTAGCAGCCTGCATGCTAATGCATAAAGTTCAAGGCCAAGCCGTGATTGAGATTCCGTGTTTTGGCTGCAGGAACTGAGCTCCATCAGGGAAGATTTTGAGACAGAGCCATAATTGTTCTCATACTAACAGACACTTGCACATCTTTATATGCCAGTATTTGACCTGCAACAGCTGAATCACAAGCTTTTGTTTCTGTAGGTGCTCTTGAACATTTATGCTCAATACATGGACGTGGCCCAAATAGACAGTCATCCGCCTCTCGATGACTGGCTCATAAAAGTCCGGTATTGCTTAAGAATGCACTGCAGATGAAGCAGCAAAAATCAATCCGACATGCAGGTATAGCCGACTATGCGAGCAGGTTTGTGGAGTATTGTTTTGTGCTTGTCATCAGGTTGAAAGGCCGTTTGTGCGAAGCGTCTGCAAAGTCAAAGGTCGAGTAGACCGCTGGTGGTGTAGACTGCCACGTAATGCGCAAAGATAAGGCTCCACCAACTCCAGCTTTTCAGAAAACTTCTGCGAAAGCGGATTGTTTATGTACATGGGCCACCGATAGTCCGTTTCCTGGACATTCCCAAGGGCGCTGTTTCATTGTCACACTTTGCCGTTTTGCGTCAAATTATTCGCCTGCAGCTCAGTTTTATCTTCGTACTATGAGGCCTTTTTACACTGCGAAATGTATTTTGGGGATGTCCCGGGGATCCGGTCAATACGGTGCGCTGGACAACTAGCAGGGTGCTAGCCTGCCAGTACATCATCACTTTTTTGCACATCCGTGAACACCTTGATACTTGTCCATTGCTGAATTTCTTATGACTCAGCGTCCAAGGCAATTCCCCGATAAGGGACCTTTTACAGAGCCAGCAAAAAGTGATGCATGCTCAGTGCTGAATCCTCCTGAGTCGCCCGCACAACGACTGTGCCTCACTTGGTTGATCGTTTCTATCCTGCTTACCATGGGTGAAAGAGCCCTTTGTCGGGGGCCAAACGTTGCTTCGTTTTAGCCTGCCCTAGCGCAATCACCTCCACTGCGCGCAACTGTGACCGCATGAACGCCTTTCATTGGGTCACCCATGACATACCTAGAAGTCCGCCATGGTGCACAGCTCCAAAATTGGAAGTCACATATCATGCTAATAAAACCGATTCTGAGTTGAAGTGGCCTTTAAATGTCGAAACCTTGCCAGTCCTTGCGTACCGCCACCTTGGGCAGACCTGGCTTTTAAGGACTCCGTCATCAAGCGAACAGGCACTTTACACTTGTGCGCTATTTCATCGGAAAACAGATCCACTCTACAATTAGTGTCAGGTAGCATCAGCGATACTTGATCGTTGTTGTAAACTTTTACCAGCGCGGAATTGGCCCATGTGAGACCCCAACTGCTGTTATGTCTTCTGTAGCCCCCTTCACTGAGCCACAGCCTACATGCCGGCTTGCCGTTCCCCTGATGCGCCTTCTTTGCTTCCCAAGCAGCCTGCTTCTGGTACGCTTCATCCAATTGTTCGTTTTCTCCA